ACTAAAGAGTTAATCAGGGTGATTTTTCCACAAATTGACAGGTATTTACCTTTCCATGGTAGCAATATCTTATCTATTTTTGCTAACTTTCTATTAACATTTATTGGAGTGAGATCATTTATTTCATTTGGGATATGTATTCCGAGTATATCCACATCACCATCAGACCATTTTATTGGTAAACTACATGGTAATGTAAAAATTTATTTTTTAGTGATCCAATACGTAATATAGTACATTTATCATAATTTGGTTGTAATCCAGAGAGGTTAGAAAATGTATCTAGATCCTCTATGAGGCTGTGGAGGGACTCAAGTTGTGGATTTAAAAGAAAACATGAATCATCAGCATACAATGACACCTTTGTTTTTAATGCCTGGATTTCTAATCCCTTGATATTATTGTTGGATCTGATTTTAATAGCTAACATCTCGATGGCAATAATAAATAGATATGCCGATAGTGGACAACCTTGTTTCACTCCTCTTGACAGTTTAAAACTTTCTGAGAAATAGCCATTATTTACTATTTTACACCTAGGGTTACTATACATGATTTTAACCCAATTTATAAGAGATTGTCCAAAATTGAAATGCTCCAGTCATTTATATATAAACCCCAGTCGTACTTTATCAAATGCCTTTTCGAAGTCTGCTATAAATAGTAGGCCTGGTTTCCCAGTTTTTTCATAGTGTTTTATTGTATCCAGTACTTGCCTTATTATCTCCAATGTATAGCCCATGTAAAAAACCTGTTTGATTTGAATGAATAATGTCCAACAATACCTTTTTAATTCTATGCGCTATACATTTTGGTAGAATTTTTGCATCACAACACTGAAGTGTAAGGGGCCTCCAATTTTTTAAATGGACTGGATCTTTATATTTTCCACTTGTATCCTGTTTCAGTAATAATGAAATCAGACCTTCTTCTTGAGTGTCTGATAATCTACCATTTACATAGGAGTGGTTAAAACATGCTAATAACGGTCCTCTGAGTATATCAAAAAAGGTTTGGTATACCTCGACTGGTATGCCATCCAACCCTGGAGTTTTCCCAGACTTAAAGTTTTTAATTGCATCCAGAAGTTCCTCCTCTGTAATTTCACCTTCACATGAGTCTTTGTTGGGGTGTGACAACATGAGGAAGACAGCAGTGTCGATGCAAATGAAGCTGGCCGTCATAAGGCTCAGAAATGAAAATCAATCAATCAGGAACATTGCAAAAACCCTGGCCATGCCCAAGTCAACAGTTTGGTTCATCATTTAAAAAAACAATCGGTGAACTCAATTATGTCAAAAGACCCGGTAGACCGAGGAAGACCACTGTAGTGGATGACCGGAGAATACTCTCTATGGCGAAGAAAACCCCCCTGACAACAGCCCAACAGATCAAAAACACTCTCCTGGATGCAGGTGTGGACGTGTCAAAGTCTACCATATGTAGAAGACTACACCAGCAGGACTACAGAGGGTAACACTACAAGATGCAAACCCCTGATAAGCCTGAAGAACAGAAAAGCTAAAAAGCACCTAAAAGAGCCCCAAGAGTTCTGGAAAAAAGTATTGTGGACAGATGAGACAAAGATTAACATGTGCCAGAGTGATGGAAAGAGGAAAGTGTGGAGAAAAAAAAAGAAATGCCCATGATCCAAAGCATACCACCTCATCTGTGAAACATGGTGGAGGGGGTGTTATGGCTTGGGCCTGTATGGCTGCCAGTGGAACAGGCTCACTTGTCTTCATCGATGATGTGACTGCAGACAGAAGTAGAACAATGAATTCTGAAGTCTACAGAAATATTTTATCTGCTCAGATAAAACCAAATGCCTCCAAACTCATTGGATGGCACTTCATCATGCAACAAGACAATGACCCTAAACATTCTGCTAGAGCAACAAAGGGATTTTTGATGGCCAAAAAGTGGAAAATCCTTGACTGGCCGAGTCAATCACCGGATCTGAATCCAATTTAACATGCATTTTACATGCTGAAGAGGAGACTGAAGGCAATAAGTCCCCGAAACAAGCATGAACTGAAGATGGCTGCAGTACAGGCCTAGCAGAGCATCACCAGGGAAGATACCCAGCGTCTGGTGATGTCGATGCATCGCAGACTTCAAGCAGTCATTGCATGCAAAGGATATGCAACCAAATATTAACAATGATTACTTTATTCTAGATTCTTATTCTACATTATGTTAAACTGTCCAATGTGTTTTGATGCCCGAAAATGGGGGGGGGGGACCATGTACAAAAGCTTCTATAATTTCTAAACGGTTCATCCGATATGTATGAAAATACCCTCAAACTAAAGCTGACAGTCTGCACATCACCCTCATTGTCATTGTATCCTTTCAAACTCAAAGTGCTAGAGTACAGAACCAAAATAACAAAAACATTGTCACTGAATTATGGTGCTCACTGTATCTACTAGTTCTAATGTATCCATGACATTCACGATTTCCTTAAGAGCATGAGGGTGATTGTTTGTAGTGTGATTTCCTTTACGGTCCATTGAGCTATTTAAAACGGTATTATAATCTCCCACCATAATAAGAGTCTTGAATTGCTTGCAGAGTTGATAATTTATTATATATATTGGCAAAGAAGTGTGGATCACCATTATTTGGTCCGTAAAGGTTAATGAGCCATATATGTTTATGGACCATTAACATATTTAAAATAATCCATCTACCTTGCGTATCTGTTTGGACAATTTGCACATTCGGATCGAAATTACTGTTAATTAATATCATCACCCCTACAGGTAACTGTTAAAACAACAACACAGACTACAGCAGCAGCTCAACATGGTTCTCTACTATGGCCCAATCCCAAACCAACCCCTTACCCCTATGCACTTTTTGAGATCTGAGAGAACTTTATGGGTGATTGATCTTCTGTCTGATATCTCCTTTCCCCTCCTTAGCTGAAGATCCCTCAGCTATTTACCGACATCGAGGTGTTCCCCGCCCTGCTTCACGGGGACCTGTGGGGGGGAAACGTGGCAGAGTGTTCCGACGGCCCTGTCATTTTCGACCCCGCCTCCTTCTATGGCCACGCTGAGTACGAGCTGGGCATCGCCGGGATGTTCGGAGGTTTCAGTGACTCCTTCTACTCTGGGTACCACAACAAGATCCCCAAGGCCCCGGGGTTTGATAAGAGGAATCAGCTGTACCAACTCTTCCACTATCTGAACCACTGGAATCACTTTGGTGGAGGATACAGAGGGTCCTCACTGAGGATCATGAAGGATCTGGTCAAATACTGACCACTGATCATCGCTGTACAGTAGCATGATGTACAACTACACTACCCATAATGCTCTGTAACATAAACACACACCAACGACACTGACCAGCTTGAAGGACCTTACAAAGTATTACACTGCAGCTTAGTCTTCCATCCAGAAGGGAACAAATCCATTTTTGGGTGAAAATATTAGTTCTTTCGAAAACCTTTTAACTCAAAAAGAAAGAAACAAGAAAACAATGATGCTATGGTATAGAAGAGAGATTCTATATTCCTATTTATCTTGAAATGCTTGAGAAATATATCATTTTTGAGTTCACATTCCACAGCTGTTTGAAAGCATAAGTGTGATTTTAATGCTACAGTGTAAGACTAAACATAGAGTATTGCACATCCATTTGCTTAAATAAGAAACATAGCAGCAAGCAAGGTTATGATCTGTTTGAGTTGTAATAATTAGCTTTGTTAAAAGCTGTGTTAATACTAATAATGCAATGCTAAATAAAGTACATTACTTGCTTCTTTGGTGTTGGTTCTTCCTGTATCCTGGCCAATATACACTAAACTAAGTTGTTGAATACCTCAATAAGGACAGTAACCTAAAAAAGGGCAACAGTGTACAAAACATTAGGAACACCTTCCTAGTATTAAGTTTCACCCCCCTTTGCCCTCAGAACAGCCTCAATTCGTCGGGGCATGGACTCTACAAGGGGTCGAATATGTTCCACGGGGATGTTTCAGCCATTATTATGAGCTGTGCTCCCCTCAGCAGCCTCCTGTGCTTGATACACACGGGAAACTGTTGAGTGTGAAAAACCCAGCATCGTTGCAGTTCTTGACACACACAAACCGGTGCGCCAGGCACCTATTGCCATAACCTGTTCAAAGGCACTTAAATATTTTGTCTTGCCCATTCACCCTCTGAATGGCACACATACACAATCCATGTTTCAATTGTCTCAAGGCTTAAACTTCCTTATTTAACCTGTCTCCTCCCCTTCATCTACACTGATTGAAGTGGATTTAACAAGTGACATCAATAAGGGATCATAGCTTTCAACTGGATTCACCTGGTCAGTCTATGTCATGGAAAGAGCAGGTGTTCTTAATGTTTTGTACACTCAGTGTATTTTAATTTTAATTTTCATAATATACATGAGGTGAGATAATATTTCCACCTCTGAATATGTCTGATGCAAGAGATTGAAGAGACATGCATGATGCATGAACCTCTTTGGTGTGGCGCGTGACTCATTAACGAAACGCTTTTTGTCCCCATTCGCTTATTGTACTGTAGGGTTGAGCAACGTGCAAACTTCACAACAAGATAACAGACATCGGCAACTGCGTGAGCGTCATCATCCGAAGTTATAATAATTCATTTTCTGGACAGAATTTTCATAACTACAGGTATGCATTCATAAGCTTACGATAACCAAATGTATGAGCTGTGTGTGTTCACTGATCACTCAAATTCTGTTGGATTTATGTTGCCACTTGCCAACCAACAGCACTAGCTAGTTAGCTAGCATCATTGGCTAGTATCGGCATGGATAGAACCAATTCATTGACACGCCCATGCTAGGCGTCACACTGTTCTCATCTAGCTATGAAAACTACAAGGCAAACTAGCTACACTTGCTAGCTATTATGAAGACATGTGTTTAAACATTAGACAGTAGACATGCATATAACCAAGTGCATGAAATGTATCAAATCTGTCATACCGGTAATCTAGGCAAGTACAATGGCCCAGACCGACATGGATTCCGGGGAGGATGGAGGCGGCGGCGGCGGGGAGCCCGAGGTGATCGCTAAAGCCAGTGTCTTGGGAGGTTTTACCGAGAGCACTGAGATTCGATCCCTGATCTCCAACCTACCAGAGGTTCACGAGAACATCGTGACACTGGAGTAAGCCATAGAGAGGTTCCTCGGTGAGATTCATACTGTACATGTTTAGTCTGTTGTTGTGGCTTGATCCAGTCTTGCATTGAACAGTCTGTGGGCTTTAGGCCTGAATGATTGTACTAACTACAGACATAAGTCGTAATAACACATTCAGAACCTATACATACCACAATCATAAGCAGTCAAAGAAAAGTCAACAACTTTATGTTGACCAGTTTTTTTTTTCTACAGTGATAATGGACCGTTATCAAGAGCAGCCCCATCTTCTGGATCCACATCTGGGTAACAACACACACACACACACGCACAGCACATGATCTTCTGCATTAGTGAAACGTGCGTTTGTTATGATCGCATGATGATGACAGTGTTTCTTTCCTGTGATCACAGAGTGGATGTTGAACCTGCTGTTGGACCTCATCAGGAGTGAACAGTCTCCTCCTCTACTGGTTCACCTGGGCTTCAAATTCCTCTTCATAATCTCCAAGGTAACTACATACATCTCCAAGGTAACTACAGACATCTCCAAGGTAACTACAGACATCTCCAGGGTAACTACAGACAGAGGTATTCAGCTACATCATCTCCAAGGTAACTACAGACAGATGTATTCAGCTACATCATCTCCAAGGTAACTACAGACAGATGTATTCACCTACATCATCTCCAAGGTAACTACAGACAGATGTATTCAGCTACATCATCTCCAAGGTAACTACAGACATATGTATTCATCTACATCATCTCCAAGGTAACTACAGACATGTATTCAGCTACATAATCTCCAAGGTAACTACAGACAGATGTATTCAGCTACATCATCTCCAAGGTAACTACAGACAGATGCATTCATCTACATAATCTCCAAGGTAACTACAGACAGATGTATTCACCTACATCATCTCCAAGGTAACTACAGACAGATGTATTCAGCTACATCATCTCCAAGGTAACTACAGACAGATGTATTCAGCTACATAATCTCCAAGGTAACTACAGACAGATGTATTCATCTACATAATCTCCAAGGTAACTACAGACAGATGTATTCACCTACATCATCTCCAAGGTAACTACAGACAGATGTATTCAGCTACATCATCTCCAAGGTAACTACAGACATGTATTCAGCTACATCATCTCCAAGGTAACTACATACAGATGTATTCATCTACATCATCTCCAAGGGTAACTACAGACAGATGTATTCACTACATCATCTCCAAGGGTAACATACAGACAATGTAATTCATCTACATCAACTCTCAAGGTAACTACAGACATGTATTCAGCTACATCATCTCCAAGGTAACTACATACAGATGTATTCAGCTACATCATCTCCAAGGTAACTACATACAGATGTATTCATCTACAGTGCAGTCGGAAAGTATTCAGACCCTTTCACTTTTTCCACATTTTGTTACGTTACAGCCTTATTCTAAAATTGATTAAATCGTTTTTTCCCTCATCAATCTACACACAATACCCCATAATGACAAAGCAGAAACAGGTTTTTAGAACATTTTGCAAATGTATACAAAATAAAATAATGAAATATTACATTTACATAAGTATTCAGACCCTTTACTCAGTACTTTGTTGAAGCAACTTTGGCAGCGATTACAGCCTCGAGTCTTCTTGGGTATGACGCTACAAGCTTGGCACAACTGTATTTGGAGAGTTTCTCCCATTCTTCTCTGCAGATCCGCTCAAGCTGTATCAGGTGGGATGGGGAGCGTCGCTGCACAGCTATTTTCAGGTCTCCAGAGATGTTCGATCGGCTTCAAGTCCAGGCTCTGGCTGGGCCACTCAAGGAAATTCAGAGACTTGTCCTGAAGCCACTCCTGTGTTGTCTTGTCTGTGTGCTTAATGTCATTGTCCTGTTGGAAGGTGAACTTTCGCCCCAGTCAGAGCAGGTTTTCGTCATGGATCTCTGTACTTTGCGCCGTTCATCTTTCCCTCGATCCTGACTAGTCTCACAGTCCCTGCCGCTGAAAAACATCCCCACAGCATGATGCTGCCACCACCATGCTTCACCATAGGGATAGTATTGGCCAGGTGATGAGCGGTGCCTGGTTTCCTCCAAATGTGATGCTTGGCATTCAGGCCAAAGAGTTCAATCTTGGTTTCATCAGACCAGAGAATCTTATTTCTCATGGTCTGAGAGTCCTTTAGGTGCATTTTGGCAAACTGCAAACGGGTTGTCATGTGCCTTTTACTGAGGAGTGGCTTCAGTCTGACCGCTCTACCATAAAGGCCTGATTGGTGGAGTGTTGCAGAGATGGTTGTCCTTCTGGAAGGTTCTCCCATCTCCACAGAGGAACTCTGGATCTCTGTCAGAGTGACCATTTGAGTTCTTGGTCGCCTCCCTGACCAAGGCCCTTCTCCCCCGATTGCTCAGTTTGGCCGGGCGGCCAGCTCTAGGAAGAGTCTTGGTGATTCCAAACTTCTTTCATTTAAGAAAGATGGAGGCCACTGTGTTCTTGGGGACCTTCAATGCTGCAGAAATGTTTTGGTACCCTTCCCCAGATCTGTGCCTCGACACAATCCTGTCTCGGCGCTCTACGGACAATTCCTTCAACCTCATGGCTTGGTTTTTGCTCTGACATGCACTGTCAACTGTGGGACATTATATAGACAGGTGTGTGCCTTTCCAAATCATGTCCAATCAATTGAATTTACCACATGTGGACTCCAATCAAGTTGTAGAAACATCTCAAGGATGATCAATGGAAACAGGATGCACCTGAGCTCAATTTTGAGTCTCATAGCAAAGGGTCTGAATATTTATGTAAATAAGGTATTTCTGTTTTTTTATTTTTAATACATCTGCAAAAAATTCTAAAAACCTGTTTTCACTTTGTCATTACGTGGTATTGTGTGTAGATTGATGAGGAAAATAATTGATTTGATCAATTTTAGAATAAGGCTGTAACGTGATAAAATGTGGAAAAAGGGAAGGGGTCTGAATAATTTCCGAATGCACTGTACATCATCTCCAAGGTAACTACAGACAGATGTAAAGTTGGTGGTTTGATGAACCACGCTCCTATGATGAGTAACCTTGACTGAGACCTATAGACTTGCGTTAGCTCTTCAAGCTAATGTCTTGGCTTTAGCTCAGCGGTTTAACGCTATTGTGTCACCCAGGTTTGAATCCAGTTGGTCACACAGATAGCAAGATTTCAGTTCACGAAGCCAAGCGTTCTGTTGTGTGTGTTGATTCAGTGGCGTCTTACCCTACAGTCTCAGACTAGCGTTAGAAGGATTGTGCTAGCTCAGCTTTCTCAGCCTGTGCAGTTGTGACAAGCCAGACTCCCTGGTGTTTTTGTCTTGGCCAGGTGAGAGGGTATAAGATCTTCATGCAGCTCTTCCCCCATGAGGTGGCTGATGTCCAGCCAGTCCTGGACCTCCTGTGTCGACAGGACCCCAAAGACCCAGAGGTGAGCCTGAATTCCTTAATTACAAGACCTCAATGGAAGGTGAGTCTGTCACTTCCTAGCCCAGTAGCTAATGTAGACCCCCTGATTTCTCATGTTACAAGACCTCAATGGAAGGATTATTCTTTTTTTATTTTTTGGTGGGTAGATCAGCTTAATATTGCAGATATATTGTAACTGCCATCAATGTAATTGTCTGCATCACTTCCAATCCCCCATGTTTTTTATATATATACTCCCCTTTATTACTTTTCAACCCTGCCATCCTTTCCCTACTTGGGGTAAATTAGTGAACAACAATGCCCAGGCCTCTACTTCCAGCCTATACTTACTATCTACACCTTATGGACACAGTCAATTTTACAATAATTATATTTTATATGTTTTTGCTCCTGAACTACTTCTACTCTCAACCTCTCCGATCATTTTCATGATGTCCATCCGGTTTGCTTCTACATGCCATATCTTTCTAACTGTGCTCTTTCCCAAAAGCTCCCAACATACAACCTACAGTGGGGAAAAAAAGTATTTAGTCAACCACCAATTGTGCAAGTTCTCCCACTTAAAAAGATGAGAGGCCTGTGATTGTCAACTATGACAGACAAATTGAGGAAAAAAAATCCAGAAAATCACATTGTAGGATTTTTTATGAATTTATTTGCAAATTATGGTGGAAAATAAGTATTTGGTCACCTACAAACAAGCAAGATTTCTGGCTCTCACAGACCTGTAACTTCTTCTTTAAGAGGCTCCTCTGTCCTCCACTCGTTACCTGTATTAATGGCACCTGTTTGAACTTGTTATCAGTATAAAAGACACCTGTCCACAACCTCAAACAGTCACACTCCAAACTCCACTATGGCCAAGACCAAAGAGCTGTCAAAGGACACCAGAAACAAAATTGTAGACCTGCACCAGGCTGGGAAGACTGAATCTGCAATAGGTAAGCAGCTTGGTTTGAAGAAATCAACTGTGGGAGCAATTATTAGGAAATGGAAGACATACAAGACCACTGATAATCTCCCTCGATCTGGAGCTCCACGCAAGATCTCACCCCGTGGGGTCAAAATGATCACAAGAACGGTGAGCAAAAATCCCAGAACCACACAGGGGGGACCTAGTGAATGACCTGCAGAGAGCTGGGACCAAAGTAACAAAGTCTACCATCAGTAACACACTACGCCGCCAGGGACTCAAATCCTGCAGTGCCAGACGTGTCCCCCTGCTTAAGCCAGTACATGTCCAGGCCCGTCTGAAGTTTGCTAGAGTGCATTTGGATGATCCAGAAGAGGATTGGGAGAATGTCATATGATCAGATGAAACCAAAATAGAACTTTTTGGTTAAAAACTCAACTCGTTGTGTTTGGAGGACAAAGAATGCTGAGTTGCATCCAAAGAACACCATACCTACTGTGAAGCATGGGGGTGGAAACATCATGCTTTGGGGCTGTTTTTCTGCAAAGGGACCAGGACGACTGATCCGTGTAAAGGAAAGAATGAATGGGGCCATGTATCGTGAGATTTTGAGTGAAAACCTCCTTCCATCAGCAAGGGCATTGAAGATGAAACGTGGCTGGGTCTTTCAGCATGACCATGATCCCAAACACACCGCCCGGGCAACGAAGGAGTGGCTTTGTAAGAAGCATTTCAAGGTCCTGGAGTGGCCTAGCCAGTCTCCAGATCTCAACCCCATAAAAAATCTTTGGAGGGAGTTGAAAGTCTGTGTTGCCCAGCGACAGCCCCAAAACATCACTGCTCTAGAGGAGATCTGCATGGAGGAATGGGCCAAAATACCAGCAACAGTGTGTGAAAACCTTGTGAACACTTACAGAAAACGTTTGACCTGTGTCATTGCCAACAAAGGGTATATAACAAAGTATTGAGAAACTTTTGTTCTTGACCAAATACTTATTTTCCACCATTTTTTTGCAAATAAATTCATTAAAAATCCTACAATGTGATTTTCTGGAGAAAAAAAATCTCATTTTGTCTGTCATAGTTGACGTGTACCTATGATGAAAATTACAGGCCTCTCTCATCTTTTTAAGTGGGAGAACTTGCACAATTGGTGGCTGACTAAATACTTTTTCCCCCCCACTGTATATACTTATTATGGTCCTCTGTAGCTCATCTGGTAGAGCACGGCGCTTGTAACGCCAGGATAGTGGGTTTCGATCCCCGGGACCACCCATACACAAAAATGTATGCACGCATGACTGTAAGTCGCTTTGGATAAAAGCGTCTGCTAAATGGCATATTATTATTATTATTATTATGGACACAGTATGCTTACATTATTAGTTATCTTGTTATTATTTGTTGTTATTTGTTATTAGTCCCATCCTTCAACTCCATTCAATACCTCCCATCTATCTCTTAACAAAATCCATATAGGATTTCTATTTGCCATATATATTTCAACTGTACTGTGATGTTTTACAAAAGTTTTGAACCTTTCTATTCTCATTGCTTCTACAGATTGTGAATTAAAAATAAACATTTTTGCTAAAAGTATTATTATATTATTGATCGATTGACTATGACTTTTCAGATCACCCAGTAATGCTATCTGCAAGGTTAGCTCCAGGTAAATATTGCAATCCTTTAGCCATTCCTGGACCTGTGTCCAAAAACAAGCTACAAATGGACAGAACCAAAACAAATGATCTAATGATTCTGTCTCTTCACAGCAAAATCTGCAGAGCTGGGAAGATTGTATCCCCCATATAAATAACATTCTATTGGTAGCAAGAATTTTATATAATAATTTAAATTGAAAGATTCTAATTTTTGAATCCGGTGTCGTTTTGCGTGTCAGTTCATAAACACTATGCCATGGGATCGGTACGTCAAAAATCTCTTCCCAACTATTTTGCAATCTATATGGGACGGCTGTCAATCCTTTGGTCCTTAAGTGAAACTGATATACTTTTTTATTTATCACAGTTTTCCTTAACTAATTATGTTCTTTAATGCAAGGCCGACAGACAAGATCCTTACTTTCTCCCCCTTCCACTTTCCTCTTCCACTTTTGCGGTAAGGCTGCAATTATTTGGTTGTAATTTTGGGTAGAGCAGACATTTCCATATGTTTTTGTTAGCTGCATGTGCGACATAACTCCACCAGTCCTACCGATGATATCATTTACGAAGATTATACCTTTCTTAAACATTCTGTCAAAAAATAAAGGTTTTTTGACTATTAGTATATTTGAATTTAACCATATGTCGTTTCTGGAGGATTCAATTGAAATTGCAACCAACTTTCTATGGCTTGTTTTAGAAATAGTGATATTTGGGAGATTATTTCCTTTTCAAATAACTTAATGTGAGAGGTTGTAATCTGAATAAAGGGATAAAGGCCATTCTTGAACATTGGGTGAGACAATTTTACTAATTTGCTTGAGAACCAGTTCAGATTTAAGTATAACTTTTGTATGACTGAAGCTTTTAGTGATAGGTCTAATGCTTTAATATTTAATAATTTCTGTCCTCCGAATTCATATTAATTATATAAATAGGCCCTTTTAATTTTGTCTGACGTGCCGTTCCAAATGAAATTGAATATTTTTTTTCTCATATAATTTAAAAAACTGTTCGCTTTACTTGAAGGGGTACCTTTTTATAAAGTATACATTTATAATCATTACATTGCACATTCATAAGCAGAGTATCCATTGCTTTTACCCTCTTGTTGCTTAGATTAGGCCTATAGTGATTTAGCTAACTTGAAACTGTTTACTTCCAAGTTGTTTAATGTATCGTATGTGTAGGAGCTAATGTTTGTCTTTGTGTTGGCCCTGTCTGTATCTTGTTATGGTTACAAATGCAGAGAGAGAAACGATAACTTGGCTTTATACACGGGGTACCAGTACTGAGTCGATGTGCAGGGGTATGAGGTAATTGAGGTAGATATGTACAGTCGTGGTCAAAAGTTTTGACAATGACACAAATACTAATTTTCACAAAGTCTGCTGCCTCAGTTTTGATGATGGCAATTTGCATATACTCCAGAATCAGATGAATTGCAATGAATTGCAAAGTCCCTCTTTGCCATGAAAATGAACATAATCCCAAAAAACATTTCCACTGCATTTCAGCCCTGCCACAAAAGCACCAGCTGCCATCATGCCAGTGATTATCTCGTTAACACAGGTGAGAGTGTTGACGAGGACAAGGCTGGAGATCACTCTGTCATGCTGATTGAGTTAGAATAACAGACTGGAAGCATTAAAAGGAGGGTGGTGCTTGAAATCATTGTTCTTCCTCTGTTAACCATGGTTACCTGCAAGGAAACACGTGCCGTCATCATTGCTTTGCACAAAAAGGGCTTCACAGGGAAGGATATTGCTGCTAGTAAGATTGCACCTAAATCAACCATTTATCGGATCATCAAGAACTTCAAGGAGAGAGGTTCAATTGTTGTGAAGAAGGCGTCAGGGCGCCCAAGAAAGTCCAGCAAGCGCCAGGACCGTCTCCTAAAGTTGATTCAGCTGCGGGATCGGGGCACCACCAGTGCAGAGCTTGCTCAGGAATGGCAGCAGGCAGGTGTGAGTGCATCTGCACGCACAGTGAGGCGAAGACTTTTGGAGGATGGCCTGATGTCAAGAAGGGCAACAAAGAAGCCACTTCTCTCTAGGAAAAACATCAGGGACAGACTGATATTCTGCAAAAGGTACAGGGATTGAACAGCTGAGGACTGGGGTAAAGTCATTTTCTCTGATGAATCCCCTTTCCGATTGTTTGGGGCATCCGGAAAACACCTTGTCCGGAGAAGACAAGGTGAGCGCTACCATCAGTCCTGTGTCATGCCAACAGTAAAGCATCCTGAGACCATTCATGTGTGGGGTTGCTTCTCAGCCAAGGGACTGGGCTCACTCACAATTTTGCCTAAGAACACAGCCATGAATAAAGAATGGTACCAACACATCCTCCGAGAGCAACTTCTCCCAACCATCCAAGAACAGTTTGGTGACGACCAATGCCTTTTTCAGCATGATGGAGCACATTGCCATAAGGCAAAAGTGATAACTAAGTGGCTCGGGGAACAAAATATCAAAATGTTGGGTCCATGGCCAGGAAACTCCCCAGACCTTAATCCCATTGAGAACTTGTGGTCGATCCTCAAGAGGCGGGTGGACAAACAAAAACCCCACAAATTCTGACAAACTCCAAGCATTGATTATGCAAGAATGGGCTGCCATCAGTCAGGATGTGGCCTAGAAGTTAATTGACAGCATGCCAGGGCGGATTGCAGAAGTCTTGAGAAAGAAGGGTCAACACTGCAAATATTGACTCTTTGCATAAACTTAATGTAATTGTCAATAAAAGCCTTTGACACTTATGGAATGCTTGTGATTATACTTCAGTATACCATAGTAACATCTGACAAAAATATATCATAACAGTAAAGCAGCGAACTTTGTAAAGACCAATACTTGTGTGTCATTCTCAAAACGTTTGACCACGACTGTACATATAAACAGTAGCAGCAGCGTATGTGATAAGTCAAAAAAGGGTCAATGCAGATAGTCCGGGTAGCTATTGGTTAACTATTTAGCAGTATTATGGCTTGGGGGTAGAAAATATTCAGGGTCCTATTGGTTCCAAACTTAGTGAATTGTTACCGCTTACCGTGCGGTAGCAGAGAGAACAGTCTATGACTTGGGTGGCTGGAGTCTTTGACAATTTTTCGGGCCTTCCTCTGACACCGTGGCCCAGTGATGTACTGGGCCGTACGCACTACCCTCTGTAGCGCCTTGCGGTCTGATGCCGAGCAGTTGCCATAACAGGCGGTGATGCAGCCAGTCAAGATGCTCTCAATGGTGCAGCTGTAGGACTTTTTGAGGATATTTTCAACCTCCTGAGGGGGAGGAGGCGTTGTCATGCCCTCTTCACAACTGTGTTGGTATGTTTGGACCACGATAGATCCTTATTGATGTGGACACCGAGGAAGTTGAAGCTCTCAACACGCTCCACTACAGACCCGTCGATGTGAATGGGGTTGTGCTCGGCCCTCTGTTTCCTGTAGTCCACAATCAGCTCCTTTGTCTTGCTGAGGGAGAGGTTGTTGTTCTGGCACCACACTGCCAGATCTCTGACCTCCTCCATATAGGCTGTTTCATCGTCATCGGTGATCAGACCTACCACCGTTGTGTCGTGGGCAAACTTAATGATGGTGTTGGAGTCGTGCGTGGCCACGCAGTTGTGGATGAACAAGGAGCACAGGAGGGGACTAAGCACACACCCCTGAGGGGCCCCCTATGTTGAGGGTCAGCGTGGCAGCTGTGTTGTTGCCTACCCTCACAGCCAATTTCCCCTCTAGGATTCAATAAAGTAAATTCAAATGTTTCTCTCCTTGCCCCTTCCTGCCAGACCTGGGAGACCATTACATGTTGGTGCTGTGGCTGTCCATGACCTGTCTGATACCGTTTTGACCTTTAACCCTTCCTCTGCCCCTTGTGTTAGACCTGGGAGAACCGCTACATGTTGCTGCTGTGGCTGTCTATGACCTGTCTGATACCCTTTGACCTCTCCCGTCTTGACGGTCACCTGACCTCTGACCCCGGCCAGGCCAGAGAGCCAATCATGGACCGCATCCTGGCTGTCGCCAAGGTAACTAATTCCAGCCTCTCCTGCTGGTGGGCAATGTTCCGCCGTGTTCTCCCAGGTCCAGTCCATGTATGATGTATTTAGTTTGTAGCTAACCATTTCTCTGTTGTTATTTCCAGTCTTACCTGATGGTCAGTGATAAGTCCAGGGATGCTGCCTCTGTGTTGGTATCAAAGTGAGTGTTCAACCTTATTGTTTAAAACCAAAAAAAGCAACATTTGTGTTGCATTTCATGTTCTAGCCAGAAGAGGGCGTACTTGTACTTGAAGATGCCTAGGTTCATACCTCGGCCACACACAGTTTACAGATTGGTCCTAGCGTGTTGTCATCTAACTGCCTGTGTTTGCAGGTTTGTGACGCGTCCTGATGTGAAGCTGAAGCGACTAGGAGACTTCCTGGACTGGAGTCTGACCACCATCTCTCAGGCCAGTGACCAGACCTTGGGAGGTACTGTGATTCTGGACGGGGCCCTGCAGTCTCTGGTACGACACACACACAAACACACACACACACACACACACACACAGTTCGTCTGTCCGTGAGTGCATGTGAGTGTGGATTGCAGTGATCAGCGTGAAGGCCTAGTTTACAAGAGCCTACATGTATGTTTGTGGGAGATCATAGCTCTTGTGGGTTTGGCAGGTTTGGCAGGTGTATAGTGCTGCACCTGTTGTGAGTGTTTGATGACTGGTCCCAGACCTGTTTTAGGAGCTGGTATCCCAGACCCCTAGGGGTTGGCTAGAGGTGCTGTGGCCTAACTAACTAACCCCCAGTCCCTCACGCTCTTCCAGCTTGTCTTTCTCTTTCATCTCTTCCTGTCCTGTAGTTGTGCCGTCACCAACCTCCTTGATTAAACAGTGGATTAGTCCATTTTTTCAGGTTAACTCTTGTGTTGTGTCAGTTAGTCTAAAATGCTAATTTAATGCAACCCTCAAGCGAGCAGTGTGTAAAAGTCATATTATTGGCGTTGAAACTGGCGCTACCTGTTTTCAAACCGTTTCTCCTTCTCTCTGTGCTTCTGTAATATGACTGGGAGGGGAAACCGGCTTGTCTCTATGTGGCACTCAGAGCGTTTAAAACTGGCTCTGTGTGTTCTGACGGCCCAAAGGGGCTTAAACTGGCTCTGGTAAACTTTTTGTTTTGCAGAGTTGCATTTTGAATTTCGCCATGCAGCAAAACTTCAAAAGAGCCACTGAGAAATGGAGAAAGAGACAGAGAGTGTTATTAGAAGAGTGGTTAAGTTGAACCTTTTATTGGTTACTTTCAATGCCAATGTAAGTCCTTGCTGCTACAATGTAAAGACATGGAGAAGGTAGAGGTTTGTGGTGCTTTAACCCCAAACAACATGTTGATCGAACCCTTAAAAGGGCAGGAGGCACAACATTATGAACAAAACAGGTGTTGGAATTTCACAACTTTAAAGGAAAATGTATTATTTTGATATCCTCCACAATATTGATGTTGTTGCCCTGTCTCTCCTCCCTCTCTCCTCTCTGTCCTGTCTCCTGTCTCTCCTGTCTCTCATCTCTCTCCTGTCTCGCCTGTCTCTCCTCTCTCTCCTGTCTCTCCTCTCTCCTGTCTCTCATCTCTCTCCTGTCTCTCCTCTCTCCTGTCTCTCCTGTCTCTCCTCTCTCCTGTCTCTCCTGTCTCTCCTCTCTCTCCTGTCTCTCCTCTCTCCTGTCTCTCCTCTCTCTCCTCTCTCCTCTCTCTCCTGTCTCTCCTCTCTCTCCTGTCTCGCCTCTCTCTCCTGTCTCTCCTCTCTCCTGTCTCTCCTCTCTCTCCTGTCTCTCCTCTCTCTCCCGTCTCTCCTCTCTCTCCTGTCTCTCCTCTCTCTCCTCTCTCCTGTTTCTCCTCTCTCTCCTGTCTCTCCTCTCTCGCCTGTCTCTCCTCTCTCCTGTCTGCGCCTCTCTCTCCTGTCTCTCCTCTCTCTCCTGTCTCTCCTCTCTCGCCTGTCTCTCCTCTCTCCTGTCTCGCCTCTCTCTCCTGTCTCTCCTGTCTCTCCTCTCTCTCCTCTCTCTCCTGTCTCTCCTCTCTCTCCTGTCTCGCCTGTCTCTCCCTCTCTCCTGTCTCTCCTGTCTCTCATCTCTCTCCTCTCTCCTCTCTCTCCTGTCTCTCATCTCTCTCCTCTCTCACTTTTCTCTCTCCTTTCTCTCCTTTCTCTCTCCTTTCTCTCCTCTCTCCTGTCTCTCCTCCTCTCCTCTCTCTCCGTCTCTCCTTTCCTCCGTCTCTCCTTGTCTCTCCTCTCTCTCCTCTCTCTTCTTCTCTCTTCTCTCCTCTCTTCTTTCCTCTCCCTCTTCTGTCTCTCCTCTCTCTCTCCTCTTCTCTCCTTCTCTCTCCCTCTCCTCCTTCCTTCTCTCCTCTCTCGTCCTGTCTCTCTCTCCTCTCTCTCCTGTCTCTCCTCTATCTCTCCTGTCTCTCCTTTCTCTCCTGACTCTCCTCTCTCTCCTCTCTCTCCTGTCTCTCCTGTCTCTCCTTCTTATCTCTCCTTCTCTCCTTCCTCTCCTCTCCTGTCTCTCCTGTCTCTCTCCTCTCTCCTCTCTCTCTCCTGTCTCTCCTCGTCTTCGTCTCTCCTCTCTCTCCTGGCTCTCCATCTCTCTCCTGGTCTCTCCTTCCTCCTCATCTACTGTCTCTCTCCTCTCTCCTCTCTCTTCCTCTCCTCTCGACTCTCTCTCCCTCTCTCCTCCTCTCCCTCTCCTGTCCTACTCCCTGTCTCACCTCTCTCTCTCCTGTCTTTTAGGCCCAGCTATTCAAGCATGGCAAGAGAGATGACTTTCTCCAGTATGGTAAGAATGTCCTTCAATAGTTGCTTTTTGATCAGCAATTTGACTTTAGATTGTGATAAGAAGTTGTCTTACCTCCTTTAATTGAATGTACCTGTTGTGCCTCCATTCTGGATAAGAGCATCTGCTAAATAACTTGAATGTAGGTGATCTTCTGATGTTGACTGACGTGACCATGTCGTGATACTGGCTGTAGGTGATGATGTGAGATACTAATGCTGGGTGCACACTTCACCACTGTCTGAATCCTGACATCGCTGAGCCTCTCACATTAAACCACCGTCTTTCCTGTAGTGTTTTGTCTTGCCAATGTAGTGGTGAGCACATTAAACCACCGTCTTTCCTGTAGGGTTTTGTCTTGCCAACGTAGTGGTGAGCACATTAAACCACCGTCTTTCCTGTAGTGTTTTGTCTTGCCAACATAGTGGTGAGCACATTAAACCACCGTCTTTCCTGTAGTGTTTTGTCTTGCCAACGTAGTGGTGAGCACATTAAACCACCGTCTTTCCTGTAGGGTTTTGTCTTTCCAACGTATTGGTGAGCACATTAAACCACCGTCTTTCCTGTAGTGTTTTGTCTTGCCAACGTAGTGGTGAGCACATTAAACCACCGTCTTTCCTGTAGTGTTTTGTCTTGCCAACGTAGTGGTGAGCACATTAAACCACCGTCTTTCCTGTAGTGTTTTGTCTTGCCAACATAGTGGTGAGCACATTCAACCACCGTCTTTCCTGTAGTGTTTTGTCTTGCCAACGTAGTGGTGAGCACATTAAACCATGTGACACAGACGGGGAGTCACTTGGTCGTGAGGATTCTCCATACCACGCTGTCTCGCCATAACAATGATGTGATTGTTAACGTAGCTACAAGGAGCTCTGGCTCAAAGCAGCCTCATAAATGTTTTCAGTCAGACATTCACACTTGAACTACAGAGTTGAAATATCTAGCCAATAACATTTTTGAATTGAATAACATTGCTTGTAAACTTCAGAGCTGCAACGATTTGACGGTTTGGTTTAAAGGCAGGTACAAACACATGCTAATAGTAGTCATGGCTCCTGCTCCAGAGTCTACACATTCTGGGTCATGAGAAACAACGTCGTCATCTCACTGGCTTCTTCTCTGGCCAGCTCTCATTGGCTATTGCTGATCACCGTTCTCAAAAGTTGTCGTTGCACATCTCACACTACAAGAGCATTTGAGATTTTATAAAAAAATATTGTGATGGCTCAAAGACGAGATGGGTAGCCCTCAGATTGCATCTCTGACCCGCTCACATTAAACGAGCGTCGGTGACGGCCACACGCCCCGAGTAGGCAACGGCATGAGGAGTTTGTCTCCCATCTCAAGAACTTGTCTGGGACAGCTAAATCGAATGTCCGGCTTAACCTGTGATGCTGCAGTGTCTGGACCAGTGTAGTGTTACCATGATACTAATGTCTGTGTGTGTGTGTGTCTGTGTGTGTGTGTGTCTGTGTGTGTGTGTGTGTGTGTGTGTGTGTGTGTGTGTGTGTGTGTGTGTGTGTGTGTGTGTTCCCCAGCTCCGGTGGTGCTGCAGTGTCTCTGCCACATGACCAGCGTCATGTGGCAGAGAGCAGCCAGGCTATGCTGAGGAAGCTGGGGGTCAAGCTGATACAGAGACTGGGTCTCACCTTCCTCAAGCCGCGACTGGCCAAGTGGAGGTGAGACGCACACACACACACACACACACACACACACACACACACACACACACACACACACACACTGAGGTACAGTGGGGAAAAAAAGTATTTAGTCAGCCACCAATTGTGCAAGTTCTCCCACTTAAAAAGATGAGAGGCCTGTCATTTTCATCATAGGTACACGTCAACTATGACAGACAAATTGAGAAAAAAAAATCCAGAAAATCACATTGTAGGATTTTTTATGAATTTATTTGCAAATTATGGTGGAAAATAAGTATTTGGTCACCTACAAACAAGCAAGATTTCTGGCTCTCACAGACCTGTAACTTCTTCTTTAAGAGGCTCCTCTGTCCTCCACTCGTTACCTGTATTAATGGCACCTGTTTGAACTTGTTATCAGTATAAAAGACACCTGTCCACAACCTCAAACAGTCACACTCCAAACTCCACTATGGTCAAGACCAAAGAGCTGTCAAAGGACACCAGAAACAAAATTGTAGACCTGCACCAGGCTGGGAAGACTGAATCTGCAATAGGTAAGCAGCTTGGTTTGAAGAAATCAACTGTGGGAGCAATTATTAGGAAATGGAAGACATACAAGACCACTGATAATCTCCCTCGATCTGGGGCTCCACGCAAGATCTCACCCCGTGGGGTCAAAATGATCACAAGAACGGTGAGCAAAAATCCCAGAACCACACGGGGGGACCTAGTGAATGACCTGCAGAGAGCTGGGACCAAAGTAACAAAGCCTACCATCAGTAACACACTACTCTGCCAGGGACTCAAATCCTGCATTGCCAGACGTGTCCCCCTGCTTAAGCCAGTACATGTCCAGGCCCGTCTGAAGTTTGCTAGAGTGCATTTGGATGATCCAGAAGAGGATTGGGAGAATGTCATATGGTCAGATGAAACCAAAATATAACTTTTTGGTAAAAACTCAACTCATCGTGTTTGGAGGACAAAGAATGCTGAGTTGCATCCAAAGAACACCATACCTACTGTGAAGCATGGGGGTGGAAACTTCATGCTTTGGGGCTGTTTTTCTGCAAAGGGACCAGGACGACTGATCCGTGTAAAGGAAAGAATGAATGGGGCCATGTATCGTGAGATTTTGAGTGAAAACCTCCTTCCATCAGCAAGGGCATTGAAGATGAAACGTGGCTGGGTCTTTTAGCATGACAATGATCCCAAACACACCTCCCGGGCAACGAAGGAGTGGCTTCGTAAGAAGCATTTCAAGGTCCTGGAGTGGCCTAGCCAGTCTCCAGATCTCAACCCCATAGAAAATCTTTGGAGGGAGTTGAAAGTCTGTGTTGCCCAGCGACAGCCCCAAAACATCACTGCTCTAGAGGAGATCTGCATGGAGGAATGGGCCAAAATACCAGCAACAGTGTGTGAAAACCTTGTGAAGACTTACAGAAAACGTTTTGACCTGTGTCATTGCCAAAAAGGGGTATATAACAAAGTATTGAGAAACTTTTGTTATTGACCAAATACTTATTTTCCACCATAATTTGCAAATAAATTCATAAAAAATCCTACAATGTGATTTTCTGGATTCTTTTTTCTCAATTTGTCTGTCATAGTTGACGTGTACCTATGATGAAAATTACAGGCCTCTCTCATCTTTTTAAGTGGGAGAACTTGCACAATTGTTGGCTGACTAAATACTTTTTTTTTTCCCCACTGTAGGGGTCAAGCTGATGCAGAGACTGTGTCTCACCTTCCTCAAGCAGTGGAGGAGACACACACACTCCCTAAATGTTCATTTGGGAGCCTTTGCCGTTTTAGGTTATAGAACATTTTCCTAAAGGAAACACTGTGTGGGCGACTTTGTGTTGGTTGCTTTTCGTCCAGAGAGGTATCGTCCTAAATGGCAACACC